TTTTTTTTTTATAAAAAACAAAATAATTATTAGGTTAAGACACCTAGGCCAAGTGGCCTTCAGACCAAGTGACATTAGGATCATTTTGAAAGTGCAGTCCTTTTTTTTTTTTATGAATTCGAAGTTCGAATCCTACCTTGTAGTTTTGTTTTTTAAAAAAATTATTAGGTCAAAGGCAATCCCATGATGATAATAGATAGTCTTTCACCTCTATAAAATAAATAAATAGATAAATAAATCTTACTTGCTAAGCAAACTATGCTATAAAAATTGCGTCGATCAAAGCAGTATCAAATTCAGAACAGAATTCAAGAATAAGTCTAATCACCATGGCTGAAGAAGTGAAGCTGTTTGGAATACGGGGAAGCCCTTTTAGCCACAGAATAGAGATTGCTCTCAAACTCAAAGGCGTTTCCTATGAATACATAGAAGAGGATCTCCAAAACAAGAGTCCCCTGCTTCTCAAATACAATCCCGTCCACAAGAAAATTCCGGTGCTCCTCCACAATGGAAAACCAATCGCAGAGTCAATCGTTATTCTCGAATACATCGAGGAAACTTGGAAAACCAATCCCATCTTGCCGGCAGACCCTTATGAACGAGCCATTGCTCGTTTCTGGGCTAAGTTCTTGGACGATAAGGTAAGCATCATTTATGTATCAAACAAGAGTCAGCTGATTGTCACTGCAGGGGTATCAACTCGATCAAACTCTGGTTCCTAAATGCTATGCATCTAATTACTCCTAATTTTGTTTTCTTTTGCGAGTTTAGTGTATGCTTGCAGCTTGGAATGCTTGCTGGGCCAAAGAGAAGGAGAGAGAGAAAGCCATGGAAGAAGCTTCTGAAGGTTTGAAAACACTTGAAGGCGAGCTCAAGGACAAGAAATTCTTCGGAGGAGATAAGGTGGGGATGGTGGATATTGTTGCCACCTTCATCGCCTTCTGGCTTACGGCCGTTCAAGAAGTCGTTGGGGCTGACCTGCTCACACCAGAGAAATTTCCTATTTTATTCAAATGGAGTGAGGACTTGGTGGGGTGTCCCATCATCAAGGAAAATCTTCCCCCTAGAGATCTACTAACCGCCAATTTCAGGGCTCGCCTTGAAAGTTCCAAATAATACAGTATTCCACCTAATTTACTATACTACTAGTTTTCGTTGCAACTTGCTCTATCTTACATCATCTTATGTTGGTACCGTCTAGTGTGGTTCGTGTGTGTAATTTCCTCAATTTCCCCTAAATGTTGTAAGAATGTAATCGCTCTATGTTTGTGCTTTGAAATAAAAACCCTTTTAAAACATTATTCATATTTAGCGATCACCATAAACATTTTGAGGTTTTTTTATCTCAATGTAAATATTTTTAATATTTATTGTCAGACTCTCTTTAAATTAACTCTTGCATACCTAATGTAGCATATATTAACTTGGTACACTCGTAGTGTACTTTATATTAGCCCAGTACAACCTCAAGACTTAAATCTCATTTACAAAACAACAATCACTTATGAAAGAATCCAAATCTTAAAGTTTTTCTAATTAGTTCTGCTAGTGATTCTCTTGAGAGTGATGCCTCAAGCATCGAATCATTGGACTTTGTCTTATATAGTCTAACCGATCCCAGAGGAGCAATTTATTAAATTCTCAAAATAAAGCAATTTAGATCCAAACTGGTTTCAATAAATAGCATCAGAGATTATGACAACAGGGACAGCATCATGGCAGATGAAGTGAAGCTGTTTGGAACATGGGGAAGTCCTTTTAGCCGCAGAGTAGAGATTGCGTTGAAACTCAAAGGTGTTCCATACGAGTTAAATGAAGAAGATTTGTCGAACAAGAGTCCTCTGCTTCTGAAATACAATCCCGTGCACAAGAAAATCTATGTCCTCCTTCACGATAGAAAACCAATTGCGGCCTCCCTAGTTATTCTCGAGTACATCGATGAAACTTGGAAAGCTTATCCTATCTTGCCCCAGGTCCCTCGCGAAAGAGCCAGGGCACGTTTCTGGGCAAAGTTCATGGATGAAAACGTGATCTATATGCAATCATTTTTTTAAGAAATAGATATTGTTGCTACTCGAACACTCTCCTCCATCTCCATATCATGTTATTATTGTGCTTTGGTTATAAGAATGAATAAAATAATAATTAATGAATTTATCAAGAAATATCGATAAAAAAATATCATCAAATAAATGTGGAAAGCTTATTTATTTTAAGGCAATTCATGCTTTTGTGGAAAATAGATTAATCGGTGCAACAGAGATATATATAGCATGTCGCCTCCAGAATGCTATAATTTTATAATTACACTTTATGAATATGCATTATCCATAGAGTCATCAAACTCAAAACATCTTTCTTTACCCATGAATATTTAGAAGATAAAGTAAAGTAAGGAAAATAAGAGAATGTGGAGGAACTCTCTTCTTTAAGCAAATAGACATGTTTTATTTATAAAATTCATGGTTTTGTAACTTTTATTTGTAGGTTAATGATAAGAATAAGTTGAACAATTATTATGAAATAATGTGCTCTTAAATAGGACAATTAACTATGAACGGCAAGTTTGATTGGGACAATAAATTTAATTTATAAAATATATTATTTTATTTTTTATTAAAATATTTAAGTTTTAACAATTCTTCCATTATTTTAATAAAAAATAAACCTTTCTTTTGGGTAAAAATGGATTATTATGCATAATAAATGTAGATAAATCTTAAACATTTACTTAGTGAGTCAACAATTGTTAATTCAAAGTTAATAGTGAACTAAATCTTAAACTATGACCCCATTGAAAGATACAAGAATCGTATCACACACATAATGATCCGAATGTTAAGTTTTTTACATAGTTGACGCATTATGGTCTTACGCATGATCCCAATTTTCATGGGTAATCTAGAAAATTGCCCATTTAATTTTCATAGAAGTGATTTCACTTTGACATCCACATAAGTGAAATTTGTCAAAATTGCTCCCATAACTAAGACATCCTACTGTATGAGTTATAAATTTCATTAAGAGTATATAACTCAACCCTCAATTCGTAATGGGATAGATGCATTATCACCTTAGGAATGGGGCTAAAAATTTTTTTCATTAAATATTGATGCATCTTTCTACAATGACTTCTCTATCATTCGGGTACTCCCATAACTAAGACACCCCACTCTATGAGCTATAAATTTCATTAATAATATATAGCTCAACCCTCAATTCGTTACGGGATAAATGCATCCTTACCTTAGGAATGAGCTCGGAAATTTTTTCTGTTAAATATTGATACATCTTTCAACAATGACTTCTCTATGATTAGTTTTTCCCATTCAAAACCCAATTCTTAGAATTTGGGTTGGGTATCCTCATAAGAATTTCTATATTATTGGGCTTGAATCCATTCCCCTCGATGAGCACTAGACCTTGGACTATGATCATAGATTTTCCTTCAGCTTTTCTCTTTACCAAAGGCCTAGTTGGTAGTATAGTGGGTAAAAGAGATTCAACTCATTCTTTTTCTCACTTTTTTACATCAACCCACATGTCTACTAGCTCATAAGATTCACATTCATATTTCTCAAGTTCTCAATTCATGGTACCACAATTTTGATATCAAATCGAGCTAATGAACCACCCTTTTCTTTCCATACAATTAGAGACATGTATTTAAGAATTTTTTAACTCAAACACCATTGTACCTTGTTGTACAATAGGAATGTCCATCATATATCCCTTTTCTCAAATGCCTTATTATTTTTTTTCCATCATACATTATTATACCATAATTGTATAATAGGAATGTATATCACATTTACTTTGTTAAGCACCATTATATCTTACTATATAATAGGAGTGCATATCACATTTGCTTTGTTAAGCATCATTATACCTTCTTGTATAATAGGAATGCTATACAAAATTTCAGTTATGCACCATTGGTCTCATCACCAATAACAATATATAGGGATATCATAATAATCCCCCACATTGAGAACATATCAAATATGTGATTTTCACATTTCTCAAATAATTGAGTTAATGAAGAAACTCATTTACTCACAAAATTTCATAAGAGCATATTAGCCCATCTCATATTTTATCACCACAAATGGCTCCTCAGTAACATAAGCTTAAAAATTTAACTTACATTTTCGGAATATATCAACTCAAATTTCATATCCATTTTTTCAAAATTATTACATGGACCAAATTGGGTAGCTCTCTTCTTTAGTTTTTTCACTTAGGTTGTCAAAATTTTCCATAAACCCATTTTCCATGGTTTCTAACTAAATAAGACAACATAGCATTCACTAAAGATTTGTTAAAAAGCAAAATTAATCAACTAACAAAATATATGATTAGGAACAATATTTTACACATAATGGCATAACCAATGCACTTAGCATTTTACTAGCTGTTGGAGTTAAATCACATTACTAGCATTGCATTGAAAACTAACAACTACATCATTTTAATGTGTCCATAATCATGCAATAGCCAAGGGAAAGATTACATATAAATACATTTAATTAATTTTTAATGTTGGAAATAAATTACACAATAAATATATTTTTGTTAAGGATAATAATAGCCATAAATAGCCATGTCAAAAACACCCAAGTAATAACCACATTCATGTTGAAAATTTACTAGCAACAAACACAACTCCTTAAAGGACCGTAGCTAGCATCGTGGTATAATAGTTTCACATGCCAAGTTTTACCTTCTTTTTTTTTTTTTTTTTTTTTATAAGCTATTGAAAATGTCTTGTAAATTCAGGATTACGATAGCAGCGAAAAGAACACATATTTGCATGCATTACTCAATAACAAAATTTAAAAAGTAAAGAAAGTATTGTATGATATCCTTAATTTTTTTAAAAGTAGATTTGTATTAGGAACTCATACCTGTTTGGCGTGTATATATATATATATATATTCAAGAAAATAAAAAATTTTCTATTATGCTTACACAAAGCCTCATATATTTCACTTTTGATTTGCATATTGAATTGCCTTAAAATTGTTGCTCCTCGAACACTCTCCTCAATCTCCACATCATGTTATTATTGTACCTCGGTCACAAGATCGAATAAAATAATAATTAGTGAATTTATCAAGAAATATCGATAAAAAAATATCATCAAAAATGGCGTGAAAAACTTACTTACTTTAAGGTGCTTCACGTCTTTACGGAAAGTAGATCAACCGGTGCAACAGAGATATATATAGCATGTCGTTCCTAGGATGCTACAACTTTATAATTATACTCTTTGAATTTGCATTAGCCATAGAATCACTAAACTCAAAACATCATTTTTTACTCAAGAATATTTAGAAAATAAAGTAAAGTAAGGAAAATAAGAAAATGTGGAGGAATTCTCTTCTTTAAGCAAATAGACATGTCCTATTTGTAGGACTCATAGTTTTATAATTCTCATTTGTAGGTTAATGATAAAAATAAATTGGGTAATTATTATGAAACAATGTGGCTTAATTAAATAAGACAATTAGGCTACAATAGCTAGTTTGATTGAGACAATAAATTTAATTTATAAAATATATTATATCATTTTTTTTAAATATTTAAGTTCCAACAGATATCACCCTTAATTTTAATTTGTTTTGTGGTTCCCAATTTCTGTGTGTTTAGTGCTTGATTGCACCGTGGATTGCTTGCTGGGGTGAAGGAGATAAGAAACAAAAGATGTCGGCGGGAGGAACAAATAAGGGTGGTGGAGGAATTATTGGAAGTACTGAAAACGCTTGAAAGTGCGCTTGAAGGAAAGAGATTCTTTGGTGGGGATGGGATCGGACTGGTGGATATTGCTGCCAGCTCAATAGCGTTTTGGCTTGGTGCCATCCAAGAAGTTAGTGAGGTGGAGCTGTTAACGGCAGAGAGATTTCCTGTGTTGTGCAAATGGAGGGAAGAGTTTCTTAGCTGCAACATTGTCGAGGAAAATCTGCCTCCTAGAGATAAAGTAGTCCAGTATTATAAGAATCGTTCTAGAAGTGGCTAATTAGTCAAATTATGGGAATGAATAGCAGTGAATGAATGGTTTTTTCTTTTTCTTTTCATAATAGTGTTTAATGCAATTTTCTTTTTCTTTTTTTTTTTTTTTTCTTTTTTTTTTTTTTTTGGTGATGACACGAGATTTGGTTGTGAGAGAAAATTATGTTTGTATCAACCTTATAAACAATTTTAATTTAAACTTAAAGCTAATCAACCATTGCAAAATGATGAAACAAACAATATAATTGAGTGGTTAAATGTAGACGGTGCGCCAACCATGTTAAGCTCATCTCTTACATAAGTTAGACAATAGTAAGTGAATAAATAAAAGGCAATACATCACCTAAATTTGTGACCTTATGGATAAAAAAAATTAAAAAAAGAGTTTCATTGACTTGTGTAAATATCTTCGTGATCACTTAAGAAAATGCAAAGGCTTTTCTTACAATCCTTTTCACTGGTTATTAGTCTAAACTCCAAACTAATTAATTAATTAATTAAGCAATTTGGAGATCTTGTCCTATAAATGAAATCCAAGGATGGGATTGGAGAAGAAGTAGAGAGTGGCAAGATGAGCGACTGGGTGAAGCTCATTGGCGCAGTTGGTGTCCCTGCTAGCCATAGGGTAGAACTTGCCTTGAAACTGAAAGGTATTCCATATGAATTCATTGCTGAGGATCTGTCCAACAAAAGTCCTCTGCTTCTGGAATACAATCCTGTTCACCAGAAAGTTCCCATCCTCCTACACAACGGAAAACCGAGGGCAGAATCGCTTGTAGTTATCGAGTACATAGATGAAACATGGAAGACCAATCCAATCTTACCCCATGATCCTTATCACAGAGCCATGGCTCGTTTCTGGGCTAAGTTTATTGACGAAAAGGTGAATCCTCTTCCCCTAGTCTTTATAGATTGAATCGAGTTTCCTTGTTTTAGACTTCGCCTTTCACTTTCTATTAAATTTTCACTCTTGTTTAGTGCGTGGGTGGGTTGTGGAATACTTGCTGGAGCGCAGAGGCGGAGCGAGAGAAGGCGGTTGAAGAAGGATTGGAGTGTCTTAAAATGCTTGAAGACACCCTAGAAGGTAAGAGATTCTTTGGAGGGGAGACAATAGGAATGGTTGATATTGTTCCCAGTTATGTTGCCTTTTGGCTTGGAGTCATTGAAGAGGTCAGTGAGGTGAAGCTGCTGACGGAAGAGAAAGTCCCCGGGTTGTTCAGATGGACTGAAGAATTCCTCAGTTGCGTAACTATCCAGGAAGGCCTGCCTGCCAGAGAGAAAATCATCGGCTATTTAAGGGCTCGATTTAGAAGTGAATAATTAGTCCCCATGTGGGGTTTTTCTTGCTCTGTGTTCCTGGTTTTAAATAAAACAGAGCGACTCTGTTTTTTCTTTTCTTGCTGAAAAGCAGAGCAACCCTGTTTCTGATTTAAATAAAAACAGAGTCCACCTGTATAAGACAAAGATGTTTAATAACCCAGATCGATCTCTAGAACAGTCCTGACTTAGGAAATCAACTATATTTATTCTGGGAAGCCAATGTTCCAAACGTAAAAGTATTATGACAATCAAATTAAACAACAAAGCCGGTTCAAGCAAGCAAACTGATGGGCACTCACGTTGCCAACTGAATTATTTATAGATCAGAGTTGTAAGTTACTCATTCATGCTTGCTGAAGCTTGAATCCTTGACAATGGTGACAGGACAAGCAGCATGTGTAATCACATGGTTGCTCACGCTCCCTAACAGAATCCTGTTTGCAAAAACCACCCAATTCATGGACAAATAATTAGTTGTAGCTTGCTTATCTGGTCGAAAGGTTTGAAAGATTTAAGGACAATTAACAAAACTAAAGATGTGATCTTGCCTTTTGATGGTACCAAGTCCTCTGCTTCCCATAACCACAGAGTCCAGCTTCAGATCTTCAATAGCGTCAAGAAGCTTTTCTCTTGCGTCTCCCCAATACAGTTTCGTAACGACCGTGATCTGCCAACCATTTACATGTCAATCATGAACCAGATATGTGACAGTTTCATTCAAAGACCTAACAAATATCTTAGGAGAGTGTGCAAACCTGTTTCTGTCTGGAAGCAGTGTCAAGCGTGTCAAGAACTTCCATATCAGTTTTGACATCGTACTTCTTCATGATCTCCGGTTCCCTGAACTCTGACAAAGGGATAAGAGCTACAAAAGCCCAAATCAACCCAGATCAGATCGGCACTGAACGTGATTTGTATTCAATTCAAGATAGGTAAAAGGAAGAAATTAAGAACTTACGAGCACCAGATGTGGCCCAAAGATTGTTACGATCCTCGTGAAGAGAGTTAGGGTTGATGTGGACGATGTACAGAGTGTCACTTTTGTCCGCCAAGTTATCAATAGCCCATTTCAGAGCGTTCTTGCTGCTGTTGGAGAAGTCCATCGCCACCCCAATCTTCCTGTCTCCTGGCATTTTCTGCTTCTGTTGGTAGGCTTTGCTTGCTTCTATGGAGAAAGGAAAGCGAACTTCGTGTATGGACGTCAGAGATAAAATAAAGCAGAGAATGGGGGGAGCGTTTTACATCGGAAAGAAAAAAAAAAAAAAAAAACCTGTGCTTGTATAAGGTGGCCACAGGGAAGATTACTTGATCTACATCGTCCAACGGTGGGTCCAGATAACACTGGATGATGGCGTGAAGATAGTATTGTTTGGGGAACAATGCTAGGGGCACTCGCCTCCTGCACTCCCTGGCCAACACTTCCACTTTCATTGGGCCACGTAAGCTTACTTTAGAGTTTTTGAAACGCAACCTCTAAATCAAAATAACGTCGTCCAATAAAAATGGAAGTGCTGGCCGGAGAGTCCAGGAGGCGAGTGCCCCTAACACTGCTCTTGTTTGGATTAGTGATGATCCATGTGATTAGAACTCAAAAGAATTACTAAATCTGTTAACATTGGCTAATTTAACCGAATCTATTGTAAATAGCCATTCACCAGTGTGGCTTCATTATTAAAATTAACAATTCCCCTTCTCTAAGAACAGATGTTAAAAATATTAGAGTAATAATCACATTAAAAAAAAAATCTATGGTAAATTGAAAGCACAAACCACACATATTAGATATGAAATTTGTGTGACCGGGGCACATTGGATTCTTGCCATTTTCGATTAAAGAATAAATGCCACCTAGAACGCTGTTGTTGGGTAATACAAAATGCACAAAAGAAAAAACAAAGGGTTCAAATTTCAAACTCTAAATTAGAAGCCAAAGGAAGGCATCATCATCATCTTTACCAAAAAAAGAAGGAAGGCATCATGTACCTGCCATGAATAGAACTGATTCCACTTGAAGCCCTAAAGGTAAACCAACACGGAAGAAAAGTACCATAGAAAAGAGAGGTTATTGTTTTTTAGCATTTTACTTCTGGAGGGTGGCCTGACTTCTCTTGCGGAATAGGCCTCCGCAGATTATTCTTATATAAAAAGCTTTTTCAGTTGTTCCCAATAAGAATTGTTAATCGTAGATCGAATATTACACCCAAAATGGTTATCCTAATAATGCTGAATTTTATAAATGGGTGAGGAAGCTGCTTTGAACCTTCACTTTTCTTTGTCACAGAAATTATGTAGGCCCCATGGTCCATTATTACATCGATAGCTTGTGTCAGTCACTTCATTAATGGAAGACACACTCCTGGATTAGTTTCAGTGTTCGAATCTCAAGAGTTCCCTTTACCGCTTTTAATTTTTGTTGGTACATCAAAAGCTATTGAAGCTTAATATGTAGAGAACATGGCTCCAGTACCGTGCAAGATCATGCTAATACCCATTGGGAGGTCGGAAAGATGGTTGTACCTAATTCGAGTTTATGCCCAAATCCCAATGGAAGCCACAAAGTCGACAGCAGAATTACTTAGAGTGTGATGCACTGAGCAAGAAATAAAGGAGTCTAATGGTAAGAAGATATTATTGAGAAACACTGACGCCGCACCTGCCGACACCTTCACCGCTTT